TTTACCAACAGATGTCAGGACCTGGTTCCTGTATGAAATCGGGATTCTTAACAGTGACATTCTCAGTTTCCAGACTTCAAGTGTATCTGTATCAGTGAGGATGCAAAGTTAAGAGCGCTACAGTCCAATGGGTTGATTGTGACCTACAGTATGTTTTTGTAGGCACTGCCTTATATTTTGGTACTCATGACATGACTCATAGAGAGCAGACAATTTCCTACAGAAGTTCATGACCCAAATTCCCATAAGTATGCTGTAAATCTTAATATGAAGGTACTGACTACTTGAGTCTCGGGGAGTAGCATTAATAAAGGCTGTAAGAGTGGAACAAGCTGTGAGCTGGAAACACTCTTCCATCACTGGCAAGTAAAGGAACATGGCAGGCTTCCTATTTTATCTTCCAGACACAACCAGTGAATTGGTTTAAATTCCATCAGGGGCAGAAAACAAAGAGGCAGTGTCTTTCACATGTTATGCATTATCCATAGACAAATTAAGGTGCAAATTTAGATCCTGGCCTTCACCAAAGTATTGGAGCTTGACTATATTTGGGAGAGTGCAATTGTGCTCATGAGCTGCTTGTGAGTTTACTATAAGCAATTGTTTGGAGACTGAGAACAAAATGCTAGATGAGATGAGCACTTGGCCTTATCTAGTTGGGTTCTTTTTAAGTTCTTACGACCTAATACACAGTTTCAGAACAGGCATATGATTCACATCTAGTGATCTCAAGGAAGTTTTGGCTTGTAAACACTTAGCTGGGAGTAAATCCCGTTGATCTTCATAAATTTTGTTTTTAAATTATGTTGCTTGTAGGGAGGAGGACTCCACCATACTTGGATTCCAGAGCAGACTCATCAAATCCAGTCAAGATAGATCTTGACCCAGATGAGATCAGTGGTCAGCTTCAGAATCCACAGTTTGGTGTATTTTTATCAGGTGATCAGAAGATAGCACACTGCCCCCCTGCCAATTCCCACCCCCTTTAAAACCTTTGAAATAGGTGCTCGTAGAACGTGGTAGTATTCTATTGCTACAAGGGGCAATTGTTCAGAAGAAAGCATGGCAGTACCAGTGTAGAAGTGGCAGTCCCATGTTGGCTTCGCAGTTGCCACTTGCCCCATGCAGACGTCCCTGATGCCTTGTCTCTCTTCCTCCCAGTCTTTTTTTTGGGGGGGGGGTCGCAGGGGTACGCATATCCCTAAACATTTTGTGAATCTAAGTTTGACATCAAATTAATTAATTTTATAATGAATGATTTTAGAGTGTTGTTTGTGTTGTACTTTTGTACTGTTTTATTGTTGTTAGCCGCCCTGAGCCTGGCTTCGGCTGGGGAGGGCGGGATATAAATAAAATTTATTATTATTATTATTATCATCATTGAGGGGCAGTATTTCAATATGAGTAGAAAAATGAGAGTACCCCTAAACATTTTTTTAGGAAAAGGACTGCTTACTCCTAATAAGCAACAACAACCCATGTGTTTGATAGCTGGTGTAATGGCTCCACTCCACCTGGCAGGCTATGTCTGCTCCAGAAGCCAGCCATTTTTTCATATAATTCCCCTGGAAAGGGATAGAACATTTCCAAATCCCATCGTTCTCATGGGATCTTCATGTACTTTTAATACATATAGCGGCAAGTAGCGCTAGCCCCACAAGTTTTGGGCAATTAGATACACTATTTCAAACGTTTTAAAGGGGAAAACCTGGGAGTGAACAAAGGCAGCTCACAACCTTTGTACCACCTCTTAAGTACTTTTAAAGGTGTACTTGTGTTTTAAGTGTGTTTCTGGGCATTTTTAAAAGGATTTTTCATTAACAATCTGCATCAAAGCAGGTCAGGACAGACTTCGCTCTGTAACCAAGAAATAGGATGGGCCTGATTTTAATGGGTCTATCAATCCCAAGTTCTTAACCATATTAGGCATCCTGGTGACAGGTTGGAACGGCGGGATATAAATATTTTAAATGAATAAGAAATAAATGTGGAGAGTCAATTAAGGACCATTTCTCAGGATCCTCTTGACTACCCACTATTCGAATAATTTATACTGATTTCACACATGCTACTAGAATATGCAGCTGATAAAAACAGTGGCAAAAAAGAAGGGAAGACTACAATATGCCATTTTGCCACTTGTAAGTCCATGAACCCTTAGTCTTATTTTGTGCTCCCTGAAACCACCCCTCTTTTTGTCCCCCTTTCAAATTCTGAGTCAAAAATTTGAGAATGTGAACTTTTGTCACACCTCTCAGCCCAACTTTCAGTAGAGGCTCTTTGGAGCCTCTCACTTTCTGCTGCAGCTTGTGTGTAAAAGACTTAAAAATTATTATCATGCAGGGAGGCGCATTTGCAATCAGTTTTTGAGTTTCCTGTGGCTTTTGTATCACATGTGAACCAATTGACATTCTTTTTGAAGAACATCGTCCGCTCCCCTTCCCCCATTTCCCCCCACAGGGCTGGAATGAGCTTAAATGAGCATAAATGAGCTTATGTATAGTTTAAGCTTTCTCCTCTGAATGGAGTCCCTCTCTTTAGTCATTTGTACCATATTAGGAAAGTTAAAAAGTCTTATTGCCTCCCTGCTAATACTTTCCACTGCAGCAATCCTAGATTGCCATCATGTAGGTTTGTAGTGCTGAGGTTTATGCTCGAAAACACTGCTGCTACCAACTGCACACACAACATGCAGCAGGGAGATAGTGAGAGACAAGAAAGGGAAAAGAGATCCCCACTTGCTGTATTGCTGCAGCTGTTCTCACTGAGCAAGCCTGAAAAAGAAGAAAGTGAGACAAGAAAAGATGCAGGAGGAAGCCCTGATTCAGAGCCAGACACTTTAGTTCAAAGCAAGACGGGGAAGAGGGTGGAAGTAAAAGAACAGTGTGCGTGTGTGCGTGTGTGCGCACACACGCACACACTCATTCAGCAAAGCAAAATAGTACCACAGCAGCAGAAAATACTGACAGTGTACACCGACCACAAGATTCAGTTCAGAACCTGACTCAGTGCTTCAGAAAACAGCCAAATTTGATTCAAGACTTTTTAGAGGGTATCGTGCTTGGAGAAACATCCAGTTTTGTCAAAATAAAAGTTATAGCTGTGCGAGCAGTGAGAGGTTAAATTGACGAAAATGCTTGCCTTGTATGCAATGCTATCAAGGTCAGCCTTACCTTTAGGCATAAGGAGGTAGCTGCCTCAGACAGCAGATTTTGGGTGTCATGAAATCATTGTTATCAATGATATGTTTTCCTTTGAGGTGGCAGAGTGGGGGGAAGTGCTTGCAGGATTTCCTGCCTGAGGAAATAACATAATTTGACCAGCCTTGGATGCTGGTCCAGCCAACATGACTTGGACCAGGAAGGGGGCACCATTTGCTGCTCCCACTCAGCCAGCAAAATGTCCTGGGATAGCCCTGGAAATAATTGCTTTGCATTGCAAGGCAGAGGAGTGGTTGAGCAGATAATATAGAAAGATGGGGTAACTCAATGTATTGTGAGTCTGTTTCAAAGTCTAGTTACAAAGCGTTGCAGACCGGAATCCAAGATAGGTATGAGGTGGAGTCTCTGCACTAGTTGGAGGGGAGGTGACTGCATAACTTGTGTGTGGTGGTGACAGTGCATTAGGTGCACGGCAGATTCCTATTCCAAGCAATCAATGAAATGCTTAAAAATGTACATTTCATCCTCAGCATTCATAAGAAATTAACCAGAAATGGAGGCACATGTTGACACTCATGGAAACGAGCACAAAACTAGGTAAGCACTTTCAGAACCATCTTAAAGATGAATACATTCCCAAGGAACTTTTCCTGATGTATATACAAAATGCAGAACAGTCGGGATTTGTTGGTTTGGCACATCAAGATTTCAGAAATTAGAAACATAATGCAGTTTGAAAGGCTTGTGTTTCACAGGAATGCTACGGAGAAGAGACGTTTGGCATGGAGGCATTTCAGAATAAGGAATGTTCCCTTAAATAAATTACATCTGGCAACTCCGGCAAGATATTTTTATCCTAGATTTACTTAGATGGAAAACATAGTTCTCATCCTAAAAGCCTTTCTATGCAATCTTTCCCTGCCAATAAAATCTTTATATTAGGGGTGGAGGGAATACAATTTTGTTGGCTACTTCTCGTCTGGTGCAACAAGGATTTATTTATTAGAAAAATAATAATGCTTAGCCTTTCTTTAGTGTCTTGCATCAGCCTTCACCAACCTGGTGCCCTCCAGATGTTTTGGACTACAATTCCTAGCAGCCTCAGCTAGCCCAGATGTCCTGACTGCTGCTGATGGGAGTTGCAGTCCAGAACTTCTGGGGGCCAGCAGGTTGGCGAAGGCTGCTTCACATGTATTATCGCAGTCCTCCTTGCAGCTACCTGATTTATACTTGATTTATACAGGAAGCAGAAACAGTTGGTGGAGGGGGTCTGCCAACTAAATGCTTATCCTGTCCATGTTTGCAAAAAGTGTCATGCACTCACTGAAGCACATACGTCACAAGCTCCTCATATTCACATCCTATATTGCACTGCCTATAGATTTATGATGCATGCAGCTATGGCAGGCTTCCTCAACCTCGGCCCTCCAGATGTTTTTGGCCTACAACTCTCATGATCCCTAGCTAGCAGGACCAGTGGTCAGGGATGATGTGAACTGTAGTTTCAAAACATCTGGAGGGCCGAGTTTGAGGAAGCCTGAGCAATGGTAAATAAATTGCACACACAGCTACTATGAACCAGAAAGTCTCCTTTCAGGATGCAGTGAAGAGAGTGGGCTGTGCACACCCTGACTCACCCCAATTCCCATAGGGCTTCACCCACCACAGTACTTGCCAGGGCCTCAGATCTGAAGGGAGCACCCAGGTTCCTCATCCTCTGCCCCACATCATCCCAGAGTCTTGGGCAGAAATGCTATGTGAGCCCGCTCAGTGGCCCTATTCCCCCTGTAGGACATAGAATCATAGAATTGTAGGTGACCATGAGAATCATCTAGTTCAATCCCCTGCAAAGCAGGAATATGGGGATCAAACCTGCAACCTTGGCATTATCAGCACCACACTCTAACCAGCTGAGCTAGCATGGACCACCAGTGGTCCTCGAGCTTCACTCAGGTTGTCCATAGCATGTCTGTGAAAAACAGTAGGAGCAACAGGCATGTCAGCTGCTCCATTAGTCGAAGAACCCACAAAGTGAGCAGAATAGACCACTGATGGGTGGAAGGAGGCCAGAAGAAAAAACAATTGCAAGTCAGACATCTAGCACAGTTGCTGCAATGAGCAGAAAAATAATTAAGTGCCCTTCCAGGACCCTCAACAATTTTCAGGTGGTCTATGGGGTTGGAGTTTGGGAACCACTGTTGCAGAGCAAGTCACCAGAAGTCCTGCAGGCTCTCACAAGGCATCCTGGCTTGGGAAGGTGGTTGTGGCAAACCTGTCAAAGCCATAGCAACATAGCATTCGTCATTCTCTCTTTAGTTACTGACCTCCTACCTACCCTTGCTTTGATAGTAGCAACACTGGCTTGCCACTTGGGCACTGGCCTGCTTTGTTGTGGTTGAGAAAGATGTTGTCTGCCACTTGGGGACCTTTCTTGCTGCTAGCTGAGTTGTGGTCAGGGCCAGGGTTCCAGGCACCACCCCCCATGGTAGATTTTTCATCTACCCTGAATTTAGTAGGTAACCTACTATCTTTCAACCTCTGCACTACATATGCAATGTGTGGTTAAGAAGACCTGATATATACAGACTACAGGTCTTGCCAATGTGTGTATTCCTTGTCTATCTGGTCTCTCTCTCTCTCTCTCTCTCTCTCTCTCACACACACACACACACACACACACACACACACACTCCTACTCCTACTCCTACTCCTACTCCTACTCCTACCTCTACCTCTACCTCTACCTCTACCTCTACCTCTACCTACCTACACCTATCTGAAGCCATCAATTGCTGGTGCTGTAATAAGATTGCCTGCTTATGGACCAAATGATTCTCCATGCATCCTGTATAAATAATGGAGTGTTGAAGCTGAAAGATACACAATTAGTGAAGGACACCTACTTGGTTCATGGTAGCGGCAATATCTGAACTGAAACTTCCCAGGTCAACCCGTTGGCTGCTATAGTATCTGCATCTGTATAATTCCCAGAAGTGAATTATAGGGTATAAATATGAGGAAGGCACTATAAGAAGTGTGCGAAGCAGGGGCTGTATGGCATTTATCACTTCAAATATGATGTGATCCATGATGTGTCATTGGTGGGAAGGCAAAGAATAGTCCTGTCAATTCATATTTATGCATTGTAATAAAGTGTAACTTAGAACTGGTCCAATGCAACTGATTTAAAACAATGGAAATGGAAGGCAAGCTAGCTAGCACAGTGTTTGAAACAGCTGCATTGGAACTTTCTATCCCCATTAGTTTACATTAAGCAAACGTGTGTATAAGTGTTCGTAGCGTTCAGACTGCAATGAATTTTAGCCCTACTCTGATTCAAAGGAACTACTGATTGGTACCAGCTGCTCAGCCAAAGGGCAGATCACATGTTCCTAATTCCTGTCCGTCAGCTTTGCTTCATTCCAGTGCCGACCCAACTGATTGCTTGCTACAAACACCTAATTAATCCCACATGCCTTTAGTTCTGCCGAACTGAAGACAAAAGGTGGTTTTAACGCTAGCCAGTTGAATTTTCCTCTTCTGTACACAATCTGTTTTCTCAAATCCCATTTTACACAGGCAGGCTGTTGTTCCTGCAGGCAGATTCACAGCTGTAAATTAAGGTTCCTTATCTCCTATTGGTACTGCCCTATGCTGTCCTGCCCTTGGGAAAATAGTGTTGTTTGTCTAGGCACCCTGTGTAATTAATCTGCATAGAAGAATCTCACAAAGGTCTATCTAAAAGTCCCATACATCAAAAGACATGCAGAAAGGCAGTGGTCATGTTGCTACATTTCAGTGAAGTGAGACTGGTGCAAGCAGACACATCTTTAAGGTGCAAGGGTTCCCTAGCAGAGTATGCTGTACCAGCATATTCCTCCCAGAGCACATCCCTCTATCTCAGAAAGCCATATCATAACTGCACAGGTCCTTAATATGTTTCCTGTCCAACATTCAAACACTTTATGGTCCTAAAAAGAGGGGGGGAGATACCTGTGCTTATGTCTTGAATGCAAATAAACAAAGGGCACAACTGACACAGTTCCCAAAATCTGTACCTTTAAAGCAACAAATCCAGGTGAAAATTCTCTCTCAGCCATGAAATACCTTGAGCAGTTCTGGACAAATATTTGGACCATATTTCAATATTCTGGGCCATATTTCAGCTGCCTTAGCTTACTACACTTAAAGTGTTGATGCAGGAATAATAAGCAACTTATGTTACATAATGTGCTATAAAATAATTAAAGTAATAGTAATAATAATATAATCATAGTATTGTTTGCCGAGGTCAGATTTGCAATCATAACCATGTCTACTTAGAAGTAAGTCCTGTTGAATCCAGCATGGCTTACTCACAGGGAAGTGGAGTTAGGACTGCAGCCTCAGTGTTCTGACCCCAAGGCTGGTACCTTGCTGGTAACATGACCATTTTACTAAGCAAAAAAGAAATATGCTGTTTGTTAGAGGGAAGAGTATGCACACAGGATGTGTGACTTAAAGAAAACTTTTCCTGAAAACCTTTAGAGCAGGAAAGAAAAGGAAGTGGAAGCAAATTTTAGTCTTCCCAAAAGAGTGAAGGCAGGGGTTAAAATTAGACTTTCAGACCAGCATGATCACTAATTCTGTTAGTATAACAGCTGTGATTAGTACGAGGGTGTTTAACGTCATTAGCAGTGCAGTTACTATTTCTGCTTTTCTGCTTCGGATATTAACTTATGGGGGCGAAATCCTTTGAGACCCATCTGGAATCTCAAAATTTCGGAAGTGAAAGAGGAAAGTTACCTGGCGGGGTCTCGAGAGTGGATTTATCTTTTTTGTTGGCTTTCTTCATTTTTAACTCCTTCTTGCTCAGCTTGAATCTTTGGGGTTCTTCTGTCTCCAAAGGGGGCTCGGTTTCTTCCTCCCTTGGCTCTTCTGTGAAAGGCGAATACTCCTCTTCAGGATCTGGAAATGAATAATAATGATCCCTGTTGATGATCTCCTGCAGATAGTAATCCTGCTCTTCCATAGGTAGAGCCCAGGTTATATCCCCAAGCAGTGTCAGATCAAAAGCACACAGCGCGAGGCAGAGCTGAGCAAAAGAAGCTTTCTCGACAAAGGAGGTCATTATTATTTTTTTGCTTTTTTGCAGTAGAAAGCTCCTCTGTGAATATCCAATGTAGGATCAGCAGAGAGGGGAAAACAGAGATCTTGGCAGTTAGCAAACCCCAGAATCAAGAGCAGAGTCTGGGATAAGCACTTCAGCTTTGGAGTAGTTTGCAAAAGTTGCAAGTAATGAAGTGGGAGTGAGGACTGGAATCAGAGGGAGGGAGGTGGTTGCCTGAGGTCCATGTGATCGTCGGGGCTCACCAGCCAGCCAGACACACATGCAGACATACGGGAGAAGAGAGAGCTGGCATTTGGCAGGTGTTGGACTCTGTGAATCCTTTACAGATCTTTGCTCCTTTCTCTGCTTTCTCTTCCCTCCTGCTCCTCCCCGCTCCCCAGGCAATTAAAAACTTTAATCCAACTCTTGGCACCTAAGATGCTGTGTTTTGAGAAATGATATTAACACAGAGTCTAAATACTGTATATTCAAAGAAATGAAAAACTGGCCATGAGCCTCACTCTCGAAATCCCTGTACAAAAAATGTATCTCTATTCTCTTGCCAGGACTATATGCAGTGGGGTGTGTTTGGATGAAAACTTGGAAGAGGAAAATGTTTTCTCCTGTGGTTTAGGGGTTCCTGCTTCCCCTTACAGAATATTAAGATTGCATTCGGATTCTATGGAACAGAAAGGAAAACATGCTTGTGAAAATTCCTTCTACTCCTCCAGCTCTTGATAAAAAACAGGTGCAGACAGTCAACAGCATAGAAAGTTTACATTTTACATTTATAATCCCTTGATATACTAAAAGGTTAATAATCAGGATTCTTTCTTTTGCAGATTTTCAATTTTACTTTATTTTATTCCAGGCATTATTATTTTTCTGACCCCCCCCCCTTAATCAGGTGGCCCTGGATAAGAGATCAGTTACCGAATTCTCCTTCAAGTATGTAAAACAGTTCCACTTGAAGGTTTTTCAAAACAGGAATGAGTTAAAAGCATCAGAAAGATACCTCACCTTCCAAAACACATTTCAACAGCAAATATAAAATGCTGACATTTCTCTTTACTGGAGTTCTGTATCTGTACCAATATAATAGAAAGGTACTACAAATCCCATGTAACTTTTTGCCATACACAAGTCAGTGTCATTGCTAATCCCGAGCCAAAATGACAAGCCCATTTTCACATTCATTTTCATCAATTGCAAAATAAAAAGAAATCAAGTACTATTCTCAGCTTTCCCCCTGCCTTCCCACTTATGTCCAGATGGAATTTGTATAAATGGTCTTGCAAAGAAATTAAGTGATATCAGCTTTTAATTGCACAATCACAGACAACTTTCAACTTCCCAAATTTGCTCTAGCTTCTTACCAGATGTCAGTGATGAGAGTAGGCTGTGCTATGTCATACACAGCATGGGAAAGAGTTTTAATGCAGGGGTGCTCCTGAATTTATCTAGAAAGGTAAAATAGAACCAGTAATTCACCAATCAGCTCTCTTGTAGAACAGAATTTCATGGATATGCATTTTGGTATGATTTCATATGATGCAGATGTTGATGTACTTACTTTTACTTAAACCCTTTATTAATTGCTCTCCATTGCAGCAGCAGAATAAACAAACAAACAATAGAGATTATAAATAGTATATCAATCCACTCTACAACTGGAAAACTAGCACAATGATAAAGCTACTGCTTAAAGGTACTTAAAGGTACAAAGATTCAGCAAACACCTTGCCAAAAGGGTGTGTCAGCAGCTGGAGCCAGAAAATCATAAGAGGTGATAAAGTGCATATTTCTGTACATAGATTAATTCAATTTCTGGTCCAT